GGCTGAGATTTCTGGGGACCTGAGTTATCTGGGGGTAATTTATCAGCTTAGGGACTAATGAGCAAACCTGTTACCCTCTCTGAACCTCTCCTGGATCCCCTTTAAACTGAAAGTGTTGCAAGAGATGATCTCTGAGGTCGCTTAGCACTGAATAATCTGTATCTGCCTGTCTCTAAGCCCTGCCCCATCACATGGGTATCTTTATGGTGCCTGGCCCACGGTATGCACTTCAAAAAAATATGTTTGTTGACTGAATACTTTTGAACTTACATTGTTGTGGGTTCCTGTATTTTATCAGTGCTCTTCTGTGTTCTAGGATGTTGCTAGCTTCCAGCTGGCCGGGATGCTTACCTGGTCTTGTGCATCTAGCTTATACAACCCTCAGGCCAAAACTGACCTAATGTAGCTTTGACCTTGTGCTATGCTTCTGTAATATAGGTGGTCTTCTTCATTAACGGGGATGGAAGGCAACCCCCTGGGAGGTGCACCTGTCATAAAATATCTTCTTTCCCAATGCCTGAATCTCCTGTTAAAGATTCATTCTCTACCCTTTTCTCTTAGAGCTCTATTACAACTCTAAAGAAATAAATACAGGAGTTATTATTTAGTAACTCTTTCAGTAAGAAGTAAGCTGCCTTGTAATAGGCATGTAGTGGGCAAGAAAGAAACCTCTGCTGCTGTGAGCCCCTAGGATGTTGGAGATGTTTGTTACGGCAGCATAACACCATCTGTTTGATGCAGAAATGTCAGGAGGAAAGCACAGGGGGTTGACAATTGATTGCTAAGGGATTTTGTGCTTGTGGGGATTTTAGGTGGCGACATCTAATGCTGCACACAGTTTATTAGCAACAGACCAACAGCATTAGCGTCACCAGGAGCTGACTAGAAATGCAGACTCTCGGGCCCTGCCCCAGACCTACTGAACCAGACTTTGTACCTCCAGGTGATTCAAGTGAAGATTAAAGTTTTGAGAATCAGTGGCCTAGAGGCAACTGGAAATGAGAGTCTGAAGCACCTGAAATAAATTTGAGCTAGAGGTGTAACTGGGTGCAACCCACTTTCCACAGGTTCGTAAGTGTGGTCGGTCCCTGGACCAGCAGTATCGCCATCACACGGAAACCATTTTTTGTTTTTTGTTTGTTTTTGAGAGATAGGGCCTGAGTGGGGGTGTGGCAGAGGGAGAGGGGGAGAGAGAGAGAGAGAGAGAGAGAGAGAGAGAGAGAGAGAGAGAGAATCTCAAGTAGGCTCCAAGCTGTCAGTGCAGAACCCGACACAGGGCTTGATCGGAGATCAAGAGTCAGATGCTTAACCACCCAGGTGCCCCACATAGGAACTTTATTTCAGAAATGCAGATTCTTGGGCCTCAACCAAGATCTACTGACTCAGAAACTGTAAAAGGGGCCCAGAAACCAGTGTTTTAACAACCCTGGATATGAGTCTCATACACACCGAAGTTTGGGAGCCTCTGTCACATACCAGTGAGTTGAAATAACAGGAGTTACTACTCTCCTGAACGAAGGGGATGGTTATCACATTGTCCCCATGAGAAAATACCACCTGTTTCGTGGTCATTTTCTTTATACTGTATCTTCTAGAAGGTACACGGGGACAATCAAGGCCTGGCTGTGGACTCTTTTTACCACGGTGATGACCTCTCAAATCTGCTTTTCTATCTGGTGGACGTACTAGGACAAAGCTGTGGGTAAAGAAGCAGGGGACAGAAAGGGAGGGGACATCAAACAACTGCTTTGCCTTGTGCCTCCTTGATCCTGCTGGGCCTTATTGCACTTGAAGTGTTGTGATGAGTGCTACAGAAAACACTTCCTGGGAGGGAGTCCCATGGAACAGATCTAGGCCTCCCCCCTTTTACCAAGAATGCGACAGAGGGGCACCTGGGTGGCTCAGTCGGTTGAGTGTCCAACTTTGACTCAGGTCATGATCTCATGGTTTGTGGGTTTGAGCCCCGCGTCAGGCTCTGTGCTGACAGCTCAGAGCCTGGAGGCTGCTTCGGATACTGTGTCTCCCTCTCTCTCTCTGCCCCTCCTTGCTCACGCTCTTTCTCTCTCAAAAATAAATAAAAACATGATAATAACAAAAAAGAATGCAGTAGAGTAAGAACGGGAACCCCAGCTGTCATTCCCAATGGTCTGCACAGCCACATGCTAACCCATAAGCATCCCTGACTGCAGCTCACTTTGGGATGCCACGGTTCTACAGCTCTCATTCATTCCTTAACTTGTTCCTTAACTCGTTCACTTTGCGCAGTATTTAACGGGTGACTTTTATGTGCAAGGCCCACAAGGCCCATGGAGAGGTCTCTTGTGTTTAGAAAAGGGACCGGGGGGAAGGCAGCACCACCCAGGAAGGTCATGGCTCTTCCCTGCACCTGAGACTCCCAGGGATGCACCAAACTGGCCTCTCCTCCTACCTCAATCACAGAAAAGCCGGGCTAAGGCCGCATCTAGAATGCAGCGCACTGTGATCTTCTAGTTTCACTGTTCCCTTTTGCAAAGGAGGGGGTGGGAAAGCAGGGATTGAGGAGGCCAGGGAGGAAAATGCATCCACAGCAGAACACACAGTATCTCCATCCTTAGAAAGCTGCCTGCCTAGGGCTGTGCGCTAACTCCCCATTTCACAGGAGGGGAGTGATACAGCCATCCGTGGTGGGGCAGTGGGGATGGCTGGCCGCTCTGGCTGCAAGTTCAAATCATCTGATAAGCCCATAAAATTCTCAAGGCCAAGACCAGTCCTTGAACCACTTAAACCAGACCTTCTCGAAGAGAGATCCAGGCGCCGGTATTTAAAAAAAAAAAATGTTCTGGGTGATGCCACTGCACAGGTGGGGCTGGGAACCGCTGTTCCAGGGAGGGTCGGGGGTCTTGCCCCTTTATGGAGCTGAGAGCTTCCTCCCCTGAAAGTCAAAGTCCCAGTTTCTCAGGATTCTCAGCAAAACTTTTTCAATTTCAAGAGTTTGTTTTAGAGTTCAAAGGGAGCTATTCAATTTAAGCAATTGTATTAAAATGACCATCCAATTATCTTCTATATTTTTAATTTTTTTACTTTGTGAGAGAAAGAGCATGGGTGTGCATGAGGGAGGGGCAGATGGGGGGAGAGAGAGAGAGAGAGAGAGAGACGCTGACAGGGCTTGATCCTACCACCCTGGGATCATGACATGAGCCGTAAGCAAGAGTCGGATGCTCAACCTACTGAGCCACCCAGGTGTCCCTTTTATATTTATATGGTTGTCACCAAACCTCTGATGCAGAATATTTAGTGAAAAGAACAATTCTTATTTTTTTCTTGTTTAACAATGTATGCTGGTCATAGATCTATTTTTGTTTTTTTGTGTTTTTTTGTGTTTTTTTTTTTTGAGAGAGGGCACAATGAGCAAAGGGCAGAAAGAGAGAGAGAGAGAATCCCAGGAGGGGCAGAGGGAGAAAGATAAATGGAGGAGGGGAGAGATAGAGACAGAGAAGTGGGGCTCACCCGATTCGGGGCTGGAGCTCACCTGGTGTGGGACTTGAACTCACAAACCGTGAGATCACGATCTGAGCCAAAGTCAGATGCTTAAAGACTGTAGATCTATTTTTAATGAATAATTTCATTCACTACACAATAAATATGGCCAGAACATTGTTATTACGAATCCTTGGTAGAGAGCACGATGTTATTTACATGAGACAATGTCTGTGGTTTGGGCAGGGTGGGGAGGCGGTGCTGGGTTTAGAATGTGGTAAATTCAAAATGGCCTGGGGATTGAGAAGGAGCCCTTCCAGCTATCACTTTGCTCTTAACATCCACTATTACGTTTTTTTTAATTTTTAATATTTACTTATTTTTGAGAGGGAGAGCGAGAGAGTGCAAGCATGAGTGGGGAAGGGGCAGAGAGAGAGGAAGACACAGAATCTGAAGCAGGCTCCAGGCTCTGAGCTGTCAGCACAGAGCCTGAGCGTGGCTGGAACCTGCGAACTGTGAGATCATGACCTGAGCAGAAGTCGGATGCTTAACCAACTGAGCCACCCAGGCGCCCCACATCCACTATTATTTTTATATGAAAGTTTACTCTGGGCCTTATGTAGCAATGTGATGTTAGGTTAAAAGTTGTTAGAGACTGCACTGACATTCCCTAACTATCCACATACGCAATACATTTAAGAAGCGTTGACAGCCTATATCTATGCCAACTATGAAATCAAAGCTAATCGAATTCATACAGGCAATTTATAGATGATGATAGATGTGAACAGGTTTGATAACAAAGTAGCACAAAATACAGCTAAAAATCAGTGGTAAAGTCTTCCTTAGTTAATAAAACAGTTGTGAGGCTGGTAAAAAGAATAGGCCCTCTTTTATGGCTAATATTCCATGGTGTGTGTCTGTCTGTCTATCTATCTATCTAGTTATCTACCTGATCACATCTTCTTTTTTTAATGTTTATTCGTTTTTGAGAGAGAGAGACAGAGAGAGAGAGAGAGAGAGAGTGCAAGCTGGAGAGAGGCAGAGAGAGAGGGAAACCCAGAATCCAAAGCAGGCTCCAGGCTCTGAGCTTTCAGCACAGAGCCTGACGCGGGGCTAAAACTCACGAACCACGAGATCACAACCTGAGCTGAAGTCAGACGCTTAACCGACTGAGCCACCCAGGCGCCCCTGATCATGGTGAGACAGGGTAACTACATTTATCCGGGTGATGTGCAGAATTGTCAATTCACTATGTTATACACCTGAAACTAATATAACATTGTATGTGTCAACTACATTTCAATCAAAGAAAAAGAAGAGGCTACAGAAGACATAAAGAGATTGACCTTTTAACCTGGTGATGTCAATTGTAATAGTATGAATTTGGCCATGAAAAGATTATGAAGACAGAAGAAATGTTCCACGCCAGAGACAGACCTATATGCTACACGTCTCACTTTGGGGATGTCTCTCAGAGTAAATGGTTCTGCTGCCTCCTTGTTCTGTCTTACACTACCCAACCTCTCGATATACACTCTCACCTCTTGGGGTTGTTGGTACTGAGAGGCCATCAGAAGGAAAGCCCGCTGGGCCTGGAAAGCACTATGCACCATTTCCGCCTGGGAACAAAGAGAAAGAGGCAAGTTTAGATGTTTGAGCTTCAACACACAGTTACCATATAATCCAGCAATTCCATCCCTAGGTATAAACCTCCAAAATGAAAACATATGTCCCCATAAAAACTTGCTAATGAATGTTCACAGCAGCATTCTTCATGATAGCCAAGATGTAGAAACAACCAGAATGTTCATCAAGTGATGAATGGCTAAACAAAATGTGATATATCGGTACAATGGACATTACTCGGCATTAAAAAGAGATGAAATGCTGATACATGCTACAATGTGGGTGAACCTTAAAAACATGCTGAGCGAAGGAAGCCAGTCAGAAAGACCACATTTGTATGATTCCATTGATATGAAATGTCCAGAATAAGCAAATCTAGAGAGACAGAAAGGACATTCGCAGTTGCCCGGGGCTGTGGGAGAGAGGAATGGAGGTTTCTTTTGGGGGTGATGCTGGAATCGCATAGTGCTGATGGTTTCACAACTTGGGGAGTACAGTAAAAGCCAATGAACTGTTCACCCTGAAAGAGTGAATATTATTACGTGCCAATGACATCCCAATAAAGCTGTTAAAAAATGTCTGAGTCCCAAAGTACCATCGTTTTCAAAAGGTATCTCTCCCGTCCTCATTCACGGGGTGCCCAGACCTGTGTGTTCTATGCCTTCTAGTGGAAAGAAAGTTGTCCCTTAAGTCATTCCCATAAATATATGTTCCCCATGAGCCAGTGGCTTCTACAACTAACCATTAAGACATATTTGGAGGGGTCCTGGGTGGTTCAGTCGGGTAAGTGGCTGACTTCAGCTCAGGTCATGATCTCACGGTTCAAGGGTTCGAGCCCCGCATCGGGCTCCATGCTGACAGCTCAGAGGCTGGAGCCTGTTTCGGATTCTGTGTCTCCCTCTCTCTGCCCCTACCCTGCTTGTGCTGTTTCTCTCTCAATCTCTCTCTCAAAAATAAATAAACGTTTAAAAAAAAAGACACATCTGGAGATTTCAGTGCTATTAAGCAGTCGTGCAGGAGGGAATATCTTCAAATACATGGTTATCCTATTCTTTTATCCTCACCCTCTAACTCATTCTTAACTATTAATTCTTTAATTTTTCAAATTTAAAAAGTCACATAAGAGTACCAACAAGAGGGGCGCCTGGGTGTCTCAGTTGGTTAAGCAACTGACTTCAGCTCAGGTCATGATCTCACAGTTTGTGAGTTTGAGCCCCGTGTCGGGCTCTGTGCTGACAGCTCAGAGCCTGTAGCCTACTTCAGATTCTATGTCTCCCCCTCTCTCTACCCCTCCCCTGCTCACATTCTGTGTCTCTCCATCTCTCAATAATAAATAAACATTAAAAATTTAAAAAAAAATTTTAAAAAGAATACCAAGAAGAAAATAATTCCAAATACTTGTATCACCTACAAATGACCATTTTTAGCAGAATGTTTCTAGGTTTCAAGAAAATGCACTGATTTCAGAAGACAAAGTATAATGACTTAGAATAATTTTTAAATGCAAATAATTACAAATATTAAAGTTTAATAAAATGCCTCACGATCTAGAAATAATCTTTATTAACAACAGATGAACACCATTGTATCACCTTTTAAGATCTATATGCACAGACTTTTATGAGATGGGACCATACCCAAGGTACTATTTTTTAAGAAAAAAAGTATAAATTTTGCTTATGGTTGAGCAGTAGACATGAAAGAGAAAGAATTGGTAAACTTAAAAGCTTCTGCACTGTTATAATTAGTATGTCCTAAATGATCATTCCAAGGTAAAAAATATATATATATATATACATATATATATATATAATATTAAGAAATTGGAATAATTATGTATTTGCATTTAAAAAAAATTTTTTTTTTCAACGTTTATTTATTTTTGGGACAGAGAGAGAGCATGAATGGGGGAGGGGCAGAGAGAGAGGGAGACACAGAATCGGAAACAGGCTCCAGGCTCTGAGCAATCAGCCCAGAGCCCGACGCGGGGCTCAAACTCACGGACCGCGAGATCGTGACCTGGCTGAAGTCGGACGCTTAACCAACTGCGCCACCCAGGCGCCCCTGTATTTGCATTTTAAATTACCTGGTATAACTGACTGACTTCTTACTGATAAAGATGAGAATATAAAGTATGTTCCTACTTTTTTTCTATCTCTGGCTCCCTATATTTCCTATGTTTTTACTCATTTTTCTTTTGCTCTCGTTGTGACATACATATCCTATTTGTAACATTAATTCACAGACTTGAGGATCAGTTCCATGTTTAAACACACCTATGTTTCTCACCAGTCATTTTACCATGAAATCTCCAGATCTAGGTTATCTTAATAATTTTTTTGCTGGCCGAACCTAATTATCTACTATTTTCTTCAAAAAAAGATCTCCAAGTTGCTTTTCGTTCTTCAAGTCTGGACACGTCTCTCTGTTGTCTTTATGTTTTCACAGAATCTTGGCTGAATATAACCTCCTTGGGTCGCTTTCTTCCTCCATTTTCAGATAGCATGGCACTAAATGTGGCAATGGAGAAATCCGAAGCCAGCTTGGTGTTTTTCTCTCTTGCAGAAAATTGGCTTTTTCTAGTTTGACACCTGGAGAGTTCTTTCTTCATCCTTGGGGTTTAACAGCTTAACCACAACGCGTTTGGGTCTTGAGTATTCTGTGTTATATCTGCTGGAGTAGGCTTGGCCCTTTACTTGTTTCTAGGAGAGTTTCCTTACATCATTCAAGACGCCTCTGTTCCATTTGTTAGAATCTCTGTTCAGGGACTCCATTCATCATCTTTAGATTATGAAATATTTGAGTGTCTTTGTATCTTCTAGATTCTCTCTGTCTTTAATTTCTTTGTCTTTCATCTGTATTTATTGTGATCATATGAAGTCTTTATTGTGAGTTAACAGACTTTTCAACAGGATCTCTTATATACATTCACATTTTAAATTTATATATCATTTCTGCGTGAATGTTGCTTTTGTTCTTGATTTATTAACAATTTTCCTTTGCATTTCACTCTTATTCTATCACCTCGTCTTTAAGCTATTTAAAACTGTTTATACTCTTATTAAGTTCTGAGAGTGTAAGTTATACTCTTATGAAGCCATTGTGAGGAATCTGTGTCTGTTCCTTACATTTCCTTTTCTTTGAGTGTGAGCCTGTGCTTTCCCTTTGCATGCTATGTTCCTGTCTGACACACTACCTCTAGCTGTCATGAAGGTGATTCCATGAGCCTTTTGCTACCATTTTGGGGGCTGGGTTATTTTCCCCTTCACTCAAGGGTTTGTGCTCTGTCAACTCTTTTAGAGCCTGATGGAATGGGACGAGAGGGACAGCTCAGTGAGGTGATGTCCAGTCTTTGAGAATTTGGGTGCTACTTATTCTTCTGAGAATAAGTTGAGTATCTTAAGCCATGATTTGCCCCACATTCCTGGGACATACACCATTCTGATGGAGTGGTCCCACAGATTTTAGATCATCCCTCCAATTCAGAACCCAGACATGAACCATCATCTACACAGGGAAGCAGCCCTATGGTTCCCTTTTCCCTTTTGTTTTCTTCTCCTGATTTCATTTCCTTTAAGGTATGTTTTTAAGGGGGTGGAGAATGGGGGCAGAGCTATGAACCAAAAGCTGCTTAGCCATCAGTTACTGAAATGTATTGCTTTCGGTTATCGCTTTCTTGTTTACTTACTATTAGTGAATTTTTTTTTGTTTTTTTTACCTCTTTTCTTTTTTCTTCTCTTGGCTCATCGTGGTTGTACAATTCTGATTCAGTTGTGTTTTTTTGGTCACAGGTTGTATCTTTTAACTTTCTGATTTCACCTTTCATCTCTTCCTTGTTAGTGTCACATCTGGTTTGGGGCAGTTTCTATCTCTGTGTCACCAGGGATAACTCTTTCTTCTGGGATAAATAGGTAAGAACCAGTATAACACATTTAATACATTTTGAATAACAGATAGCTAGACCATTAGGATTAGGTTCATTTCATCCTGGTGTCAATATCAAACAATTTTCTGGGCTGGAGGGATAAATGTATCAACCAAATGGGAAATTACAACTTTTTTAATTGAAGAATAATTGACACACAATATTATATTAGTTTCAGGGGTACAATATAGTGATCCGATATTTATATATACTATGAAATGGTCACTACAATAATTCTAAGTTACCATCTGTCACTCTACAAATCTGTCACGATATTATTGACTATATTCCCTGTGCTGTAATTTATATCCCCATGTCTTACTTATTTTGTAGCTAGAGGACTGTCCTTCTTAATCCCCTTTACCACTTTCATCCATCTCCCACTTTCTTCCCCTCTGGCAACCATCAGTTTGTTCTCTGAATCTATGAGTCCGCTTCTGTTGTTTTGTTTGTTTTGTTTTTCAGATTCCATGTATGGGTGAAATCATGGCACTTGTCTTTCTCTGCCTTATTTATTTCACTTAGCATAAATACCCTGTAGGTCCATCCATGTTATTGTATATGGCAAGATTTCGTTATTTTTTATGGCTGAGTAACATTCTACCTCTTCTTTGTCCATTTATCTATCAATGGACACTTGGGGTGATTCCATATCTTGGCTATGGTAAATAATGTTGTGATGAACACAGGGGTGCATATGTCTTTTAAAATTATTGTCTTCATTTTCTTTGGATAAACACCTAGATGTGAAATTGCTGGACCATAGGGTAGTTCAATTTTTAATTTTTTGAGGAACCACCATACTGTTTTCCACAGTGGTTGCACCAATTTACATTCCTACCAACAGTGCACAAGTGTTCCCTTTATTTCCATGCCCTCAACAACACTTGTTATATCTTGTCTTTTGGATAGCAGCCATTCTGATTGGTGTGAGGTGATATCTCACTGTGGTTTTGATTTGCATTTTCCTGATGGTTAGTAATGTTTAGCATCTTTTCATGTGCCTGTTGGATATCTGTATTTCTTTGGAAAGTGACTATCTAGGACCTCTGCTCATTTTTAAGTCAG